AGTTTCTTCTGGAAGACGTTGTGGAGCAAACTGGGGACGAAGCTGTTGTTCTCTACTACATGTCACCCTCAAACCGATGGGCAAACAGAGGTGGTCAATCGAACATTATCCCAGATGCTTCGAGCTGTGATCAAGAGCAACATCAAGGTTTGGGAGGACTGCCTTCCCCATGTAGAGTTTGCTTACAACAGGATGGTGCACTCGACGACGAAGTTCACTCCGTTTGAGCTCGTGTATGGTTTCAATCCACTCACTCCTTTGGATTTGATGCCATTACCTTTGAATGAGCAGGTCAATCTCGATGGAGCCAAAAAAGCTGAGTTCGTGAAGAGTTTACATGAGAAGGCGAGATTGAACATTGAGAGAAGGACGGAGCAGATCATGCGCAATGTGAACAAAAACAGAAAACCGAGGCACTTTGAAGTTGGCGACTGGGTGTGGGTGCATTTGAGGAAGGAGAGGTTTCCCCAGCAGAGGAAATCAAAGTTAATGCCTCGATGTGATGGTCCTTTCCAGGTGGTTTCGAAGATTGGAAGCAATGCCTACAAGATCGACTTGCCGGGAGAGTATGGAGTAAGTGCAACGTTTAATGTTTCTGACCTTGCACCTTATTTGGATGGCAATTCGGATTTGAGGGCAAATCCTTTTGAAGAAGGAGGGGCTGATGAGGACATCAATGGGCCAGTCACACGTGCTAAGGCAAGGACGTTGAAGGAGAAGCTTGCGACATATTTGGATAGCTACTTTGGAGCCATGGATGTGGAGCTATTTCGAGGGAAGCCATATATGATGATTCGAGTGGAGGAAGAAGGAGGAAGTGCTGAAGAAAAGGCAGATTGCAAGAAGCAGCCTTAACGGGTTTGCTTAACGGGTCCAGCCTTAACGGGTTTTCTTAACGGGTTGGGCTTAACGGGTTTGCTGGGCTGTTCCGAGTTTCCTTGTTTTAAAGTCGGTTTATGATTGTTTTTCCATGTTAGAGTCGGATTTGGGTTGTATTTTGCCTATTTAAAGGGCTGAACACGTTGGTTTTGGAGATAGACGATTATTATTGAATTTCAGAGGCTAAAGCCGAGTTCCCTACGCGGAATTTGCCCTAATTGCTCTGTCGAGAATCTCCAGAGTGCTAGAGCGACTCTTATCAGCTAGGTAATCACCCTGGTTGTGGCGAGCTACCCATATCGATTGCCCTTTATTCCGAGTTGAATCTGTCCGATCGATTCATATATCGATTGCCCTTATTCACGGGTGAGTACTGTCCGATCGATTTCCATCCTATCCGGTTCTGTTTGGTTCGAGAAGCTTGACCCTGTGCAACTTTGATTATATCAATATCCCTCGCAGGTGAGAGTCTATGTTGGTCTGTTCCTTTGCTTAATAATCTTAGAGAGGGGGGGGGGGGGGGGTGAGAGGGAAAGGGTTGTTCTTATGGATCACCTTAATTCTTTGGACTCCAGTCGTGTAACGGGCCTCCTAGGCCGGTTTGGCTTCCCTGTCCGGAAAGTTCCTTTCCTGTTCGCTCTATGTACAGGTTCTTGACTAACGAGGAGCACATGGGTATCTCCGAGTTTTTGTTTGAGTCTTTTTGGCGGCGTACCATCCCTAGAAAGATTTGCTTCTTTGTATGGTTAGTGGCGCACAAATGGATTCTCACTTTGGACAATCTTAAGGCAAGAGGTTGGTATCTTGCTAACAAGTGCGAGCTTTGCGGCCGGGACGAAGAGGATATCAGCCACATCTTCTCCTTGTGTCAGTTCACTAAGGAGGTGTGGAGAAGATTGAAGATGGCTTGCGGATCAATCGAGACCCCTACTAGCGACATTCTAGCTACCATTAGAAGATGGCCTGCTTGCTCTGCTGGTAGTGTGGAGAGCCGGTTCCTTTTTGGGGTGTTCCATGCGGCGTGCTGGCAGGTTTGGCTAGAGAGGAATAGAAGAATCTTCCAGGGCATTCGTCTGCATACTAGAGTTGTTACTCGCAAAGTGTTAAGAGACGCAGTTGATTGAGCCATTGCTTTTGGCAAGGTGGACAAGAATCAAGGCCTGCAGTGGCTTGAGTCCAAGCTTCAGAGTGCTTAGTTTGCCCCGAGTCTCGGCTGCTCCTAATTTCCTGGTGGTCTTTTTGAGTGGTCACTTTGGCTTTTGTTGTTGCTGTTGTTGCTGGGTTTGTATTGTTTTCTCAGCTGTCTTTGGTTGGGAGTTTGATGGTGTTTGTGGGCTAGCAGGAATGATTTGGTCCATTTAGCTAACAGGATGGTCATGCCTTCTGTCTCTTGGCTTCTCGACACTTCCCTTTCTTTCTTTTTTCCTTTCCTTTTCTTTTTGTCTTTATTCTTTTATTCTTTTGCTTTTTCCTTGGCGTTTTGGTTATGCACCTTGCGAACCTCCGCACCCCAGACTATTTGTTGCTTTTCCTTTGGTTTCTTTTAATGCAACTTAATCACCATTATAAAAAAAACCATAATTGATTTGCCAGAAAAAAACCTACTAATGAAGTTCTCGCGTGAAGTTGAGTGAATAGTAGTCAGACTAATTTAGCTACTTTAATTCATTAGCAATGAATGTTACTTAGTTAGTGGTTGGTTAGAGGGAATCAAAAGTTATTGGACATAGTAAATCTCATATAGAACGAGAAGACATAGTTACTCTATGTAACCATATCCATGTGCATACTAGTTTTATCCTTAGCTAGTGAGTAGTGATTTAAGTTGATTAGTAATTAACCATTACTTGGAAAGTCAATGACCAACCCCCAGTGATTGAAATATCTAAAACATTGTTCGTAACTATGGTGGAAGTTTGGTATCAAATATCAATATTTGGGATACTCTATATACAATACCGAATTTATCATTATTTGATATTATTTATTACCGAGTTATAATTAACTATGTGATTGTAAGAAATGACTAAGAATTAAATATTTAACAATAGTCCTAGCGATATAAGAAACTTATTTAATCACCAGCTAAAAAACATGGGTTAGGGGGGGAACCATATGTGAGAAGGAAAAAACTTTTCAAGGTAAGTTCTAGCGAATTGAGAAACTTGTCTAATCGATAAAATAGAAAAATGTAAATTGAGAAAAAATGTGTTAAGGTAAGTCCTAGCAAATCTTATGGTGCACCCTCTCACTTGCCATCTGGCCCAATAAAAAAGAATTAGTTTTTTTTTTATGCTTTGAGTGGCAAATTAGTAAGTTATGTGTACCTCTTTCAAGAAAGATTTTATTAGCCGAAGATCAAGTAGACGTGGGAGTAGGGTGACAAAAATTATCCACATTGTCCGGATCCAACCTAATTAGGTAGGATAAAACTAGAGCAAAAGAATTTTTGGTGGATATGAACAAAAATCTAATATGAACATTGTGGCTAATGGTAAATATGATTTTATCACTATCCAATCTCAACTCACCCGATTAAACGTGTGTATATGTTTTATCTACAAATGGTCAATATTTTTTCATTATATTTTATATTTATTCTACATATATAATATTTTCATGCAATTGTGTTCTCTTTAACTAATTTTATTCTAATTAGAGATGTATCTTATAATTTTGCACTTATATAATGTCCGTATTAATTGCTTACATATTTGTAAAAGTTATGAAGAAAAATTATTACCTATGATAACCATGGCATAGAAACACGGTCGAGTGTGGCTATGGTTATGATTTTCTACACGGTTCTTGTGTGGATACGGCTACGGGTAAAAGTCGATTTACTTTAGATAGGGTAATGGAAATGAACTATCCGGTCGGACCCAATCTGTTGTCATTCCTAGTTATGATGAAGAATTATCACCCATGGATAACCATGAATACTCGAAACCCAATCGGGTATAGACATGATTTTGATTTTATACTCGATTTTGATTTTTGTGTGACTATGTATATAATTAAAACCCAAACTATTTTGGATAGAGTAATGAATATGGACTATTTGACCTCGATCCAATCCGATCCGGTGGCTGAGTTGGCAAAGCTCCAATATGCACTCCTGTTATATGTTTTGAGTTTTGATTTGATTCTAACCTATATGATATATCTCATACATTCTAACATAATATATAACTTTAAGCTAGATTATTGTTTTCTTTTTGTCCACCCAACTCATTTTTAAAGTATCATTTTTTTGGAAGATTCAAGTCTCTTGTCACGTTAGGTGACAAAACATGTAATTCACTCATTTATTCACGCCATATTAACGTCATACTTGCATAATTCACGTAAGAGTGTTGATTATGCACACAACCAATATTGTTAGGTCACGCAACCTGATGTTTATTATTTATTCACGTCATTGTAAAATCAAATTTTAAACTTTGAAATATATCAAAATGGATGTCATTGTGTAGATTGTGATCAATGCAACACATTTTTGCAGATTAATTGACAATCCAAATTTAATTCCATAAAACATAGCCAATACAAATTATTAAGAGAAAAAGATATGATTTTTCATTTACGTGAATAACTTACACTCTTACGTAAATAAGCACCAAATGGCGTGAATGAACACAAAATACGTGAAAAAATTGGCATTATGTGTTTTGTCATCTAACGTGATAAGAAAGTTTTTCTTTTTTGGAATCCACCTTATAAATGAATGTTACACTCATTCAATGTGATCTTATCACTATTGTCCCTTAATAATTGCATCCTCCAACCAAGCTCGAGATTTAACTAACCTAAAACAAGGATTGTAAAATTGTGTCGAAGTTCGTACCGAATAAATTAATCATAAAGTATTTTGTGTGATTTATCAGTAGCTTAACTATTTCACAATTGTAAAACCTTGTTGTGATTTGAACTCTAGTAGACATTCTTCCAATAGAAACATTCAAAGGATTATACACGATTTGGCAAACACTACCCTCAACTAGATTCTGATTTTTGCAACCTCCAACCAAACCCGAGGTTATCTAACCCCAAACCAGAATAAGTTTGTTTCACCTTGTTTGTACAACAAGTAAATTACTCTCTTCCATAAAACAAAACTTGGCTACCTCCCTACTGTATTTTTGGGTGTCATTTAAGCTAGGAAGAAAAGACGTCTCCTTTGTCACCTCTGTGGTATATAATACATAGGAATAAGAGTACATGCGGTCAAAACATGACTAGAAACCAAAAAACCAGGAGAAAACAAGAGTGAGAAGTGCCGGGCAAAGCACTCACTCATCCATCCCCATTCTTACTTGTTAAAACCGCATGCAATCAAAAGTTTCACATTAAAAAACTTCACAGTCGAGACCAAAATTTGGCGGTGACATCAACTCATCTTCCCAAAACAAGAAAAAGAGATATAGATATACAATCACTTACGTTGAAGCTGTTTGATGTTGATCACGGTTGACATTCCCAAAGAACTGCCGTCCCTCATTAACCCCCCATCTCCACCTCTTTCCCTGATCACAATCAATGTGCCGCTGTACTGAGAAGATGAGCTTCCGTTCCTGTGGAAGCGCCTGCAATGGCTTCAAGGAACAGGAAACCAACCTTCAGAACTCTAAACTACCCCACAAACGCAAAAACAGACTCACATTAACATACCAGGGCCGTTATGTGAGACGCTTTTATCTTTCCTAGTCTTCTGTATGGCTGCGAAAATTGATGAAATGGGTGTTTGAAGAACAGTTTTCCTTCTTTTCTTGTATGCAGGTCATCCTGGCAAATAGCATAGTGAAGCTAACGGTGGTGAAACCTCAAGGGTGGTTGGCTGGGATCAAGTATGGCGGAATGGACAATCTCCTCGACATCAAGTCGCCCGAATCTCATCGAGGGTATTCAACATTTCTCTCTGTCTCTGTGTCATTCTGCAAAACTCACAGAAGCCATATCTGTACAGACTGTGAAAGTTGTTTCCTTTTCAACTCTCCTGCATGGTTTCTGGTGTGCAGATATTGGGATGTGAATTGGAGCGTACCAGGAGGCCTGGAACCACATCAATTGTATGTTTTGAAGTTCTGAGCTTTAGTTCCTAATGATGAAAATGGTCCAAAGTATTTGTGATAATGTACATGAATCAGCAATGTGCGATGCAGAATTAGTGGGACAAAGTACAATGTCATCCACCACAGCTACGACAAGATAGAAGTTTCGTTCAGGACTACTTACAATCCTTCCGGCCTGGGGATCAAGCTTCCCCTCAGTATCGACATAAGGTAAAATCGCTACCTGCAGGGAAACGAAGCCTTTACGAGGTTGTTTGTGTGAATTTACTCATATTGTATTGCCTTTGGATGTCCAGGTACATACTGCAGAATGGGGTTTCAGGATTCCATTGCTATGCAATCTACGAACGTCCTACAGGTTGCCCTGCCTTCGATCTTTCTCAGACAAGGATGGTCTTTAAGCTCAGGAGAGAAAAGTAAGAATCAGTAACCAAGCCAGTTCACTAGTTCAGAATGGGTTTCTTCTGTCATGTTTGTAACAATTGCTTTAACTATGTCTTCAAAAGGTTCCACTACATGGCAATCAGTGACGAGAAGCAGAGGATAATGCCAATGCCAGAGGATCTGCTTCCCCATAGAGGCAAACGGCTAATAGTGCCCGAGTCAGTTATGTTAGTCAATCCCATTAACCCAGATCTCAAAGGAGAAGTAAGCACAGCGAGATATAACTGTGTCAAGATGCACAACATTCCTGGCCTGTGAATATTTGAATCGAGATAATTGAATGAAAATGCAGGTGGATGACAAGTACCAGTATTCAATGGACAATCAAGAAAGTGGTGTCCATGGATGGATCAGCTCTGAACCGTTGATCGGTTTCTGGGTCATCTTCCCGAGCCATGAATTTCGTAGCGGTGGACCAACGAAGCAAAACTTAACCGTCCACACTGGTCCAGCTTGCTTAGCTGTAAGTTTTCACAACCTCGACACCAAATGTTCTAGTTTTCCTTCTGATGAACCCAGAAAAATGATCATCCCGATGGCTGACCAACCACAGATGTTTCATGGAATGCACTACATTGGAGATGAGATGGTGACTCACTTCGAAGCAGGAGAGGATTGGAATAAGGTCTTCGGCCCGATCTTTGTTTACCTTAATTCAACCCCAACCATATCGAATGCACACAGCTTATGGCTTGATGCCAAGAAACAGGTATATAATTACTGGAAATGTGTCTGCAGGAACTCAGAAACATATGCATTTCGTCCTCTTACTTGTGGGTCTTTTTCATTTTTCAATTTGGCTCATAGTAGAGGCTGCTTGAAGAGGCAGCATGGCCTTATGACTTCATCTCTTCCAAGCATTACATCAGGGCTGCAGGACGTGGTTCTGCTTACGGAAAACTGGTTGTCCAGGACAAGTAAAATCACCATTTCCTGATGAATGCTTACAGGCCTCTATTCCCTTAAATCTTAATCACCAATTATCAATGTTGTCTTTCCAATATGTCTTTCAGATTTCTTCATGGTTCGCTCATCCCTGCCAAATCTGCTCATGTTGGTCTATCGGTCGCAAAAAAGGCAGGAGGATGGCAAACAGAGAGCAAGGTACCATAATAATATAGCTGGTCAAGCAACATTATCCATTTCAAACAGCTACTAAAATTTCAACATTCGTGTCCCTGCAGCATTACCAATTCTGGGTGAAAACAGATTCAAATGGAAACTTCAACATCAAGAATGTTATTCCTGGGATCTATAGACTTCACGGCTGGGTTCCTGGGTTCATCGGTGATTACCTCGAGAAAGGATTCATTGACATCACTGCAGGTACTCATAATAAGACAATGGTACTACTACTGATGTTTTTGTCGCTTGCTGCCGTAGAAACTCGGTTTGAGTAGTCACAATCTTCCGTTTTCCCACAGGATCAGAAACCCAACTTGGAGATCTTGTCTATGTTCCTCCCAGAGATGGTCCAACCATGTGGGACATCGGCTTCCCAGATCGTACAGCCAGTGGTTACTATGTCCCTGATGTGAGTCCTATCTATGCCAACAGGCTATTTCTCAACAGCCAAGAGAAGTAAGCAAATCAGCAGCTGCTGTCTTTATGAATTGCATGAGAATATTGTTATCTTGTTTCTAGTATGTTGTGGCTGATCAGCTATCCCATTGTGCTCCAGGTTCAGACAATATGGCTTGTGGGACAGATACACAGATGTGCACCCAGAAACCGAGCAGACATTCACAATAGGCATCAGTGATCCAAGAAAAGATTGGTTCTTTGCCCAAGTAAACAGGTCTGCATTTCACTAATAACTTACATAAGAGATGGGCTTTTGGATCATGGTACAACTAATTGATGTTTTTGAATCTCGTTTGAGCTGCACAGAAAGTGGGGAAAGAGTCAGTATGTGCCTTCAACCTGGACAATCAAATTTATTATGGATTCAGTAACCACTGGTACTTACAAGTTGAGACTGGCCATTGCATCAGCAACCCGTTGCAGTCTTGAGGTACAAAAAAAAAAAAAAACTGAGAGCTTTCACTGTTTTGATATCCCTTATCCCCAATTTGGTGTTTGATCAAACAGTCATTTCCTTTTGGATCAGATATGCATAAATGGTATGGATCCAGAGCATACAGTTTTTGAAGTACTAAACCTAGGAACAGACAATGCAGTATGTCGACATGGAGTCCACGGACTATATCGGCTGTTCAGCATTGAAGTTCACTCTTCACTATTGATCAAAGGAGACAACTCCATGTTTCTTCGACAAACGAAGGCTGGGAGTGCACTTTGTGGAATCATGTATGACTACGTAAGACTAGAATCTCCAGCATTCTCCGAGAGTTCAGAGCAGAACTTTGAATTTAAAGCACAAACCTCTTGAGTTTCTGCTGCTCACATAGTTGCACCTGCATCAATCTTCTAACAAACTCACAGATTTTAAGAGTTTAAATAGCTAGCATGCATATCTTTTTGGTCAGAACTATCACAGCACTAACCATTCAATGGAGTTCACCAAAAATAAAAGCACTACTTAAAGAAATGTGAGCTTGTCAATTGTCATGTATTCTGTTCAAAACATAAGCATAGCGGAATATTTTCATGTCCTTACAAATCTCATAAATCAAAGCAATGACCAAAATGGAGACAGATTTCTTGCCTCCTGTGCTTTGACTACACAATCATTCCCAAAGCCATTACTTTGCAGAAAGAGTTAAGAGCAACCCATAATGGTCACTTGGCAAAACAGGAAGCTCGAGCTTCTTCACCTCCTGCCTAACTTTCTTCTCTTTTATGTATGATAACCCAGGTATAGCCTCCTTCCCAACCATTTCGATACTACTGACGCTGAAATCTCGCAGACAGCATAAAACTCGATCGAGTCTCTTCTGTAGTGTCCTATTTCCGGTCAACATCTGGTTGGACTTGGTGTCGTATGTCCATCCATTATCCCCTGCCTTCAACTCTGCCCAGGCATCAATCCATCCGCTAGGTAAGGGAAACTGGCCATCCAACTTGTCATCCCAGTTCATATCACCGGCAAAGATCACATTACGATTCTCCTTCAGGATGTTGACAGCCTCATTCGCCTGAACTACTCGTTCCTTGCTGAACATTTGATCCCATTTTGGTGGGCCCGGGCAGGGGCTCTCGAGGTGGCTAGTGGCAACAACTAGTGGCTTGTTTCCCCCAATTTGAAGCTCAGCAATACACAGCTCTCTCCCCATTATGGAGTTCCAAAAAGGCCTTATGCTGAAGGATTTAACAGGAAGCTTGCTTAACTGTAAGCAAATGGAAACCAAAGGAAATAAAATAATTTGGAAAGAGATTCAACCCATGTAAAATCTGAATCACAAATCTAGTACCAACTAACCTGCATGCAGAAGTAGGCGCTTGAACTTGGTGTCTCACTTGAAAGATTACACCGATACGTTTTCCACCAAGTGGATCTCTGAAATATGTCGAATATTTCCGGAGTAACCTCCTGCAACAAATATAACTGTCAACCACCAGCTGAAAGTTAACAGCAATCCAAGCCCAGTAAAGTATACCAAAGGGAAAACCTGAAGGCATATAATATCAGGGGAATGCAACTGAATCAAGTCTCCAATTGCTTTCATCCTCCGACGCAATTCCAAGTCCTCTCGAAACCAGACATTGTAGCTCAAGATCTTCAGAGAGCTTGCAAGCTTAGGTGAATCGACATCACCTAATCAACAATGAAAGGGCCTCTCTATAAATGAGCGATGTGAAAGGCAAAAGCTAATCCTTTCAGCACAATAGAACTCAGGGCGAAAACTCTGGGGCTTACCCTTTAGAACAGTAACAGAAGCAGCCTTGTCTAGCGCCCTAACTCCACCCAATTCCAATCTATCATGTTCTGAGCTCGAAACAAAATCTAATCAATCAACACAACACACTAAGCCCTCAAATTTCATCAAAATGGGAGAAAGAACGACATCCCCCAATACTAAGTCACTAACCCTTGGACAGGACCAGCCTTTTGGATGAATTCAGCCCATTACCTCCACCCAGCTCCGCAGAACCCTTCTGCCCGCCACCATCAAAATCAGCCGCTTTCCTCTTGCAGGACCTCAAGGGAAGGAAAACGGAGCCAACCAAAGGATCCAATTCGGATTCGATGGAAGTATCGTCGGAAAAGGGACGAGGAGCCCTTGTGCCGCACATTACGCAGTCGGAGTTCTTGAACGAGTTGAGCAAAGTACAGGCCTCGCAGGCCCACTGCTGCGATTCGTCATCGGAAGAAGGGGAAATGGCGACGTGAGGAGGAGAAACCGGGGTGAGGCAGATTTTAAAGGCGGATTTGGAAGTAGGGGAGTTGTTGAACGTGCACTTCTTGCAGGACCATCCCGCCGACGACATTTTGACGGTGATCGGCTTGATGGGTTTTGGGCGGAGGAGAGGACTCGAGGGTTTGGTTGTCGCCGGACGTGGGATTGTGGGAAAGGTTAGGGCTTTGATTAGGAAAGGGAACTGTTTAAGTGCCATTACCATACTTCTTCTGGCCTTCTCCACTCTCCGATTTTTTCGTTTTCCGAGCCCGGTTCGGAGTTTGAAACTGGAGCGGTGTGCCCGTGTTGAAAGCCAAAAATACTGCAATCTGACACTTTGTTTATTGATGAATGGAGAGAATATATACACAAGTGATCCAAGGGATTCGGCCACAACAAACGGCCTCAATCCCACTCTCCTGCAGATCTGCAACAAAACCAACTACCAGCTGAGAAATAGCTCAAGCTGGTTTAACAACGGTCACTGACCACTTTGACCAAACTCAAAGTCTAAGTACTAAACTGAAAAACACCAAACGACGCAGTTTTATTTGGACTCAGACTAAAACACTTAAACTCAAAGAACTGGCGCCAAACTCCTTCAGTCAGCCTTCTGCACAAAGCCTCCCCTGATCTGGAAGAGGTCTTCTTGTCCAACAAAGCCTCCCCTGAACTGGAGCCAAGTTGCTTGGCTTCAGTTCACTCTCCTGCTTCAAACTCGGCACGATCCACCACTCCAAGCTTAGCCCTCATCAGCTGAAAAGTCTCAAGTTTCAGAGCCTTAGTCATCACATCTGCAATTTGTTCATAGGTCCTGCAATGCTCCATTGTCACCACTCCTCTGTTGGCCAGCTCTCTTAAGAAGTGGAAACGAACGTCTATGTGCTTGCTCCTGCCGTGTAAAACTGGATTTCTGGATAGCTTTATGGCTGAGCTATTGTCACAGAAAATCCTTGTTGCTGTATCCACACTACTCTTCCACCCAAACTGCTCTAGTATTCTCCTCAACCAGACACACTGAGCTGCACTGAAAGAAGCTGCCACGAACTCTGCCTCAGTGGTTGAAAGAGTGACCACAGGCTGTTTCTTGGATGCCCATGAAACCACCCCACCTGCAAGAAAGAAAGCATAACCACTTGTGCTTTTCCTATCGTCCACATCGCCTGCATAATCGCTATCAGTGTAGCCAATTAACTCTCCTCCTTCTCCTCCCCTTCTGTACCAAATGCCATGCTCCAAGCTACCTTTCACATACCTCAGAATTCGCTTAGCAGCCAACATGTGTTGCCTGGTAGGGGATTCCATAAATCTGCTAAGCAGACACACAGAATACATCAGATCAGGTCTGGTGGCAGTTATATAAAGGAGACTGCCAATTAATTTCTTGTACTCAGTGGCATCTGTGGGCACTCCATCTCCTGCTTTAGACAGCTTGATTCCAGACCCGATCGGATTGTTGACATGATTGCAGCTTGACAGGTTAAATCTCTCCAGCAACTCTTTTGCATATTTCTGTTGGCAAATGAAGATGCCTGCCTCTCCTTGAATTACTTCGACCCCAAGGAAGTACCTCATCCTTCCCAAGTCTGTCATTTCAAATTCAGTTTGCATAGAATCCTTGAACTCCTGAATGAGCTGAGGATTGCTGCTGGTGCACATCAAATCATCCACGTAGATGCTCACTATCAAAATATCAGTTCCAACCTTCTTTATGAACAGTGTGTGTTCATATGTGCTTCTCTGAAACCCATTCTGCAGAAAATAAGTCTCTATTCTGCTGTACCAAGCTCGAGGGGCTTGTTTCAAGCCATACAGAGCTTTCCTTAACCTGTATACTTTTGATTCCTCCCCAGCAACCACAAACCCTTGTGGTTGCTCTACATAAACCTCCTCAGATAGTTCACCATACAGGAAAGCAGATTTAACATCTAACTGATGAACTTCAAAACCATGGAATGCAGCATAGGCCAGAAGAGCTCTAATAGTATCCCATCGAGCAACAGGGGCAAATACCTCAGTGTAGTCGATTCCATGTCTCTGAGAGTATCCCTTTGCTACCAGCCTGGCCTTGCGTTTGTCCAAAGAGCCATCTTCCTTCTGTTTCGACTTGTACACCCACTTTAGGCCAATAGGAGTGACCCCTGCAGGACATTCAGTAAGTGTCCATGTCTGATTCTTCTCAATTGAATCCATTTCCTGCCTCATTGCACCATTCCATTGAGGGTCCACAGCAGCTTCTTCAAACGTGGTAGGATCATCTGCAACACCAACCAAGGCCCACCAATCTGCATCCATGAGATTGCAGTCATAAATATCAAGGTGAGCAGGGGGTTTTCTGATTCTTGGGCCTAGGCTTGTGCTTGGCAGGCCAAGAACATCTGCTTGATCTTCCTCTTCTTCTTCACTTTCTGCTGACTGGGAGTCTGATGCAGGAGGAGTTGGATCCTCTGATTCATTTGACCCATCTGCAGCTTCTCCTGTAGAGGGGTCACTGATTTCTTCTTCTCTGATTTCTTCTTCTGTGTCTGAGGTTGTCCAGTCATCTTCACTGCCTTCCCATGTTATTTTGATAGCTTCAGGTTGATCTTCTGAGTCCCAACACCATCCTGCCTGCTCATCAAACACCACATCTCGGCTGATCACCACTTTCTTGGTGGCTGGGTTGTATAACTTGTAGGCCTTAGACTCCACAGAAATGCCAAGAAAGTAGCATTTAGTGCTCTTGCTATCCAGTTTCTTCCGCTGCTGATCTGGAACATGGACATAAGAGACACATCCAAAAACCTTAAAGTGAGAGACTGAGGGAGGTTTCCCAGTCCATAGCTCCTGTGGTGTCTTACCCTGATTTGCTGTTGTTGGACTCCTGTTTGTGACATGAGTTGTCCAAGCAACAGCCTCTGGCCAGAAGAAAGCAGGAACCTTGTTCTCTTCTAACACACACCTGACCATATTCATTATGGTGCGGTTCTTCCTTTCAGCCACCCCATTCTGCTGTGGGGTGAGAGCTGCAGTCAATTGTCTTCTTATTCCTTCTTCTTCACAAAGTTCTTTAAATTCATTCAACAAGAATTCCCCACCTCTGTCAGTTCTCAAGCATACAATGGGAAGACCTGTCTCTTTTTCAACCTGTGTTTTGAACTTCTTGAACAGGCCTAGTGTTTCAGACTTTGCATTCATAAAGAAAGTCCAAAGTTTCCTACTGAAATCATCCGTTATAGTTAGGATGTACCTCTTTCCTCCATTGGAGGCTGGAGTTATGGGTCCACACAAGTCAGCATGGATCAATTGAAGCTTTTGTGATGCCCTCCAGGTGCTCTTCTTTGGAAATGACATCCTGTGTTGTTTGCCTACCAGACAGGTTTGACAAACTCCACTCTCCCCTTTCAGTTCAGGCAAGTCAGCTACCAAATTTTTCTTCTTCAGGAGCAGCAGGTTTTGATAGCTTAGGTGGCCAAACCTCCTGTGCCAGAGAGTAAGGCAATTCTCTTTGTTGCTGTCTGTTTGTAAGCACTGATGACCCTGACCTTCTGTCCAGTCAGCTTTGAGAGCAAACATTCGATTAGACTTCATCTGGGTTTGCAGCAGCAGTCCCTTGCCCTCATGAAACAGTTTGCAGCATCCTTCTTTGATTAGAAAAGAGATTCCCTTTTCTTGTAGTTGTCCAACACTCAGTAAGCTTGTCTTCAATCCTGGCACATAGAAGACTTCCTGGATCACCAGAGAGACCTGATTGATCATCAACTTCACAGACCCTTTTCCAACAGCTTCCAGCCTCGAATCATTGCCAAGCCTCACATTGCACCTAAAGGTAGTGTCAATGGAGGTAAACCAGCTCTTGTCCCCCGTCATGTGGTTGCTGCAGCCTGAATCAAGGAACCACCAGGTTCTTCCATCAGCTGCCTTATCTTTGCCATCATGGGTGTCTTCAACAGCTCCCATCAGACTTGCTACCTCCTGCCTTGATTCAGTCTTTTCTTGATCAGTGCAGGCCATCAACAAAACATCTTCTTTCATGTCGCCATGTGATCTGTCCTGTGAGGCCTGATAGCTGGAATAGTGAGCTTGTTGGTTCGAATACCATTCTGGGCATTCAGCTTTGTAGTGTCCAAGTTTATGACACTTGAAGCACTCCACAGCTTCTTTGTTCCAACTTCTTCCTCCCCTGCCTCTTCCACGTCCAGGAGATCCTGCAAAACCACCTCTTCCAAAGCCTCTAGCCCCCCTGCCTCCAAACTCATGAGTGGTTCGAAGGGCTTGATCATCCTCAGCTGCACCTCGTCTATGAAACTTTTGCTCATGAACAACCAAGGAGCTTTGCAAAGCATCAACTGTGAGCATCTCAATATCCTTGGACTCCTCGATTGAACATACCACGTAGTTGAACTTTTCAGTCAAAGTCCTTAAAATCTTCTCCACAATCTGCACATCAGTCAGATTCTCTCCACAGCTTCTCATTGAGTTGGTAACAACCATGACTCGGCCAAAATATTCTGTGATGGTTTCTCCCTCTTTCATCTCCAACAATTCAAAACTTCTCCTAAGTGCCTGAAGCTGAGCTTTTTGGACTCGAGCACTACCCTGGAACTTCAACTTCATCGAATCCCATAGTTCTTTTGCTGTGTTCTTCTTAGTAATTGTTTTAAGAATTACCTTATCAATCGAACTGAAGAGGTAATTCTTCGCCTTCAGATCCCTTAGCTTCAAGTCATCTAGGGACTTCTGCTCTACCTCCGAGAGCCTTTCTCCTTCAGCTGGTTCCTGATACCCTTCGCTTACAACATGCCAGTACTCCTTCGACCGAAGGAGATTCTCCATCAGCAAACTCCAGTGTTCAAAGTCGCCATCAAACTTTGGAATGCACACCTGTGCAAAGCTGCTGTTTTCACTCATTTTCAGATCTCACCAAACTCACTCTTGGCACAATTAACAGTGCTCAACTCTACCCAGATTACTAATGCCTCACAATAAACACTCGTGTTTCCCTCTACAAGCAACCCTCTTTGCCTGTAGTCTGATCGCACTCCGCACTCTTTAGGTTTTCTTGGTTACAGCTTGCACTGGCTCTGATACCACAATGAAAGCCAAAAATACTGCAATCTGACACTTTGTTTATTGATGAATGGAGAGAATATATACACAAGTGATCCAAGGGATTCGGCCACAACAAACGGCCTCAATCCCACTCTCCTGCAGATCTGCAACAAAACCAACTACCAGCTGAGA